TCTGCGCCCCACAGCCCGAGCCCCGCACCCCAGCGCCCACGCCGTCGCTGGTTCCGGGCCCTCTCAGTTCCGCGATTCCCCGGAAAAGCTGAGGTCTGGACACAGGAAGCGACAGGCGTTGCAGCCAATGGCGTCGCGCACGATAAACCTGATACCCAATCAAAGACAAGGCTGTGGGGCGGGGGGCGGGGGGGAGCCACGCCCGACTCCAGGTGACTCCTTGGCAGCGAGGGAAGGGTGTCTCCATCAGCTGATAGTATCTCCACTTGGCCGGTTCTAGGGGCGAGTAAGCCGGGACCCAGCTGCGGGAGCGCGCGGGCTGTGGCCAGCCGCGGGGTCGTTGTGCGCAGCAACTGAGGAGAGTGATGAGGAGCAGCAAGGGGCTGGGAGGTGGAGCTCAGCGGTTGAGCGTGACCCAGGAACCATGAAGTCGCTGGTTCGATTCCCAGTCATTGCGGGCTCAATCCCCAGTAGGGGTATGTGCAGGAGGCAAACGATGTTCCTCTCATCGATGTTTCTATCTATCCCTCCATGAGTTTATATATATATATATATAGTCTTTGGTTGATTACCTCCCCCACCTTCCCTCTGAGATGCCACATTCTGTTCCATGCTTCCATGTCTCTGGATCCTCTGTTCATCAGTTTATTTCGAAATTAGATTTGTGGTCCATCCTTGACATCCCTGGGTTGCAGGTCAGGCCAGTGCAGGAGACAACCAAATGATGTCTCTCTCTCTCTCTCTCTCACCCCCTCCCTTCTACTTTCTCTAAAAATCAATGGGAAAAATACCCTCAGGTGAGGATTAACAAAACAAAAAAGATTAAAATGGTAAATTGTATGTTATGTATATCTTACCAAAAAGCTTGTCACAAACATTACAAGAAATGAAAAATGCAGGTTAATCTCTCTGTGAACATAAATGCAAAAATCACAAACAAAATATTAAGTTGAATAAGCAAAATATTTTATAAACTATAATAATAAAAGCATAATATGCTAATTAGACCAAATGTCCTTCTGGACGAAGTTGGGGCTGTGAGTCCCGGGTGCCCGAGGGAAGCCGGTGCCAGCAGCCGGGAGAAGATAGGCCTACACTTGCATGAATTTCGTGCATCGGGCTTCTAGTACTTTATAACAAAAGTGTTCTGCCTGGCCAGTGTGGCTCAGTGGTTGAGCGTTGACCCAATAAACAGGAGGTTACAGTTTGATTCCTGGTCAGAACACATGCCCCAGTTGTGGGCTCGGTCCCCAGTGGGGGATGAGCAGGAAGCAGCTGATCAATGATTCTCTCTCATCATTGATGTTTCTCTCTCTCTCTTTCTCCTCTCTCTCCCCCCCTTCCTCTCTGAAATCAATATATATATATTAAAGCGTTCTTCCAGGAATGCAAGGTTGTTTACCATCTGAAAATCAATCAAGGAAATTCAGCACATACACAGAATAATAGGAAAATCCAAATGATATCTCAAGAGAGGGAGAAAAACCCTAACGGGTTTGGTTCAGTGGATAGAGCGTCAGCCTGCAGACTCAAGGGCCCCAGGTTCAATTACGGTCAAGGGCATGTACCTTGGTTGCCGGTACATACCCAGTAGGGAGTGTGCAGGAGGCAGCTGATCGATGTTTCTAACTCTATTCCTCTCTGTAAAAAATCAATAAAATATATTTTTTTAAAAAGAGAGGGAGAAAAAAATGATTTAAAAAGTCAAGAAAGGGAGAAGGGGGAGAGAGAAATATTGATCTGTTGCCTCCCAAATGGCTCCCAACCGAGTATGGAAGCTGCAATCTGGGTATGTGCCTTGACCTTTTGGTGTACTGGAAGATGCTCCAACTAACCTAGCCACACTGGCGAGGGCAACACAGTCTATTTATTTATTTATTATATATTTTTATTGATTTCAGAGAGGAAGGGAGAGGGTGAGAGAGAGATAGAAACATCAATGATGAGAGAGAATTATTGATTGGCTGCCTCCTGCATGCCCTCACTGAAGCCTGGGCCCGCCACTGGGGCACATGCCCTTAACCAGAATCAAACCCGGGACTTTCAGTCCTCAGGCCAATGCTCTATCCACTGAGCCAAACCAGCCAGGGCAACACAGTCTTTTTTTAAAAAGTGCTAAAATAACTGATTGTTTATATGGCAAAAATGGATCATAACCTAAATTACATAGAAAATTAATAGAAAATGGATCATAGGCCTAAATATAAAAGCTAAAACTATTAATTTTTGAAAAAAATTGAATATCTTCATGACCTTGGAGTAGGCAAAAG